TTGGCAAGTATACCGAATTAAGTAAGGAAAAGAAAAAGTTATGATTAGATTTTAATTGAACTCTCCAAGACTGTCAAAAGGGAATAAAAGAAGGTTTGGGAAGCATCTCCTCCATTATGAAACTAGAACAAGTAGCGGGTAAATTAGTGCGTGATTACTGAGCCACTGCCAAAAGTGAGATAAACAAAAAAAGTAAAAGTTGGGACAGTTTGGATTATGATGAACAACAAAAATTAATCCGTTATTGAGGTTATGAAAAGGCGAGAATAGAGAATGGATATATTGAAGAGACCGAAAGGTTGGAAAGGCAAAGCAACAGTTATTTAAAGGAGATAGAAAGAGCAAAATTCCACGAGGAAAGAGGGAAAATAAATTGCGAATGTGGTTGATGTGAAGAACAAAAAATAATCAGAAGTGAAGTAATTAACGAACGAAAGAAAATTATCGCTGATTATGAAGTTGAACAGAAAAAAAGCGGAGATTATGAAACAGAATGAATAAAAGGAGAATGTAATAATTGTGATGAATATAAAAAAGTGGATAGTGAGAGTGGATTATGTAAAAAATGCTTTGCTGCTAATGATTAGCAAGCAGAAGTGGTTAATTTTAACACTTATGAGGAAGTATTAGCCAGTAAGCATATAGACTGGGAAAAAGGAACAAGCGAACCCATTGAGGGGAGCCGAGTTTAATAGATATAGAAAAGTTAAAAAGTTATTAACTTCTTGATAGTAAAAGAAAGTGGAGAGGTTGTAAACTTGTCCACCAAGAGAGAAATTTACGAGGAAGAAGTAATTTACCTAATAAATAAGACTTTTAGTTAGAAAAAGTTTATTAGGGAATTTGGAATTCCCTTTGTTTATTTAGGAGAATGTTCGATTTGAGCCTGTTGATTTTGTTCTTCTGTTTCTTGAAGTTGCAATTCTTTATTAATCAACTTTTGCCCCAACTTAGTTTCCTGGTGACTTTGAGCATATTCATCAAGAGTAGTTGTTTCATTTTTTTTAGTTATTCCTATATTGACACCGAATTTCGGAATTTGGACTCCTACCTGAATTTCACTTTTTTCATTTCGATACTCTAAACTTT